CCCTATCTTTCATGACAAGATGCTTAGCCCCCTAAAAAAGATCAAGGCTGGATAATTCAAGATAGAAAACGCGCTTTGGAGATTTTCATCTTTTAACTTTTCAGGTCATTCTTGCTGAGATCATGTAATTAGTTTAGTGTGTAAATTAAATCTTAAATGCACTCAGTTGACAAAAAGGAGACAGATCCCTGTTACCTCCTTTCAGAATATGTGTTTTTGTTTTGTTTTGTTTTGTGGGCCTCTTTGATTCAGGCTCATGACTGCAGACAAAAAATACAATATGTGCCTGAAAAAGAAAGACAAGAGAATTTTATAACATTGAAAACCTGAATAGCCTTTAATTCTTCAGTACATTTTATGTAAAACAGGTTGGGGTTTTGTTTTGTTTGGATTTTCTTTTTTTTCTTTTTTTTTTTTTTTTTCTTTGCCATGTGCATTTGTTCACATTTGTAAATGACTTAATGGAATTCTCACTTTATGTTTATTTGTGTAATGTGTATAAAATGGGTTTGTGACTTAAGCATATTCATATATGGTCAGTGGTTACTTTAATATTGTACTGCTGCTGGTAACTTTTGATGTAGAACTTGCCTTTTGATGATAAAGTACCTCTAGGTTAGACAGGGAGGGAAGGCTCTTTGAAAAAAAACAACGACGAACGTTCTCCAATGTTTTCTTAACATATTTGCAGAAGCTTTCAAAAGGAGTTTCAGTCAAACCTCTTGGCAGTACAGTATTCTTGTATTTGTTATTGTCTGTGTGTAGGTACTGGTACCTTTTTTTGTTTAAAATGTTTTAAGTGTTGGCTTTAAAGTGAATTTATCTTTAGTATGATAGTAATATGAAAATTATAGGTTTTGTGTGCAGAGAATTTTTTTATAAAGTGCTTTGTAAAAAAAAAAAAAATGTATTCTAGCTTTCGCGGTACATATGTGTGATAACTTTAATATCCATGACAGTTAAGTGCAATTATTTCATCACTCTAAAAATGCTATTTTTGTGTCGGTTACTGCAGGTGTTTTCATGTCTTTGCAAAGTGACACATTTTGATGCCTTCTTGATAAAGTGGTAGAATTTTTGTAGCTTTCTAGAAACTTTGTATTCATACAGTATCGATTGAAAATAAAGAAAATGAAAGTGTTTTGTGCATTTATCTTAATCTCCTACATCAATCTCTTGTTAACACTGGGTGTGACTTTCAAAAGCACTTACCAAAGTCGCACAAGACCAGACTTGTGGAAATGTCTGTGTGCTTACCTAAAGGTTCAGATGGACGTGGAGCACGATTCACAAATACCTGCAGGGATGGCACATCTGGAAGCTCTGCTCCACAGTGAGTCCGTGTGCTTTGCAGCCCTCTGGCTTGTATGTCTTCCTAAAGAAACAGCAGTGAGGTTTTTGAAACGTAATTTAAGTCATATTGTTTAAATGAGAAAAGCCACCCGACCCCCTGCGTGCCAGAAGCAGGAATGATCTGTTCAGAATCTTACATAATAAACAGTATCAAATACATCATTCACATGGCAACTAGAACTGACAGGAACAGAGTAGTTAACTGGGGTTGTGGTGAAAGAAAGAAAAAAGAGAGTAAAGGGGGATATCCTGCATCAACTGGAGTCAGTGGGAACATGACCAGGACTTGAGGGGGGAAGAAAAAAGTACATCTGGCTCATCTTCTCCTTCAAAAGGAGAGCAGTGGCTCTTGAATAAACCGTGTTCCTCCCACACACCCCAATTCCCCTTTTGGATGGCAGATGTTACACTGCCATTTTAAAAATGCCACCACAGCTCAGCCCGTGTGGGAGATGAATGGGTTGAGAACAACACGCAGACATGGTCTGTTTTGACTCTGTTTTCACTTCTTTGTTCCCCATTAAGGATATGGTTTCAGCACTTTGAAGTGGGTTAGTTGTTTCAGAAGCAACCTGCTCCTTCATTAATGTTCCGTGTCTTAATTAATTTAGGTTAAAGACCATAAACCTACCGTTAGGAAAAATGCCACACAGCATTTCAGGTTGGCAGCCCCCACGTAGCATCGTGCCCTTCGTGTCCTCACTGCCTGCCTTCAGCAGACACAGTGGCCTCTCCCTGCTTAAGCACAGCCTAGCTTACATGATTACAGCGTTGTGGTCGCAGGGCGAAGAAGACAGACCAGTTGCTGCGTGCTGTTTTATGAAGTGTTTCATGATGAGCTCTAAGTGGGCCACAGACATTTCGTCTGCTTTTTCTCCTTTTTTTCCCCTCAAGATGCAGCCAGTTTGACAATAGAGGCACAGAACACATTTAATGCTCACTAAACCAGGAGTAAAAAGACAGTTCAGAGCTCAGCAGATGTCTGTAGTTCCTCACACACTGCTCTAGCTGTTCATCCCAACCCTGTGCTTTCACAGCCTTACTATTGTTGTCTGGGGCCCTTGGAGAGAGCAGAAGCAGCTGAACAATCTGTCACACCAAACAGCAGTAGCTTAGCAGTGTTCGTAAATGATTACCTACCTTGTGGAGAGGTGTTACACTCAATTGGCTAATGGTTGTAAATTGTTATATGATTGCTGTTGTTTTGTGAGAGCTGGAGCTGTGCTGGAGACGCTCGAGGTGTGGTGAAAGTGGGAGAGGCAGGAGGGAGTGGGTAGAGAATGTATGAGGAGAAGATTGAAAAGGAAAATTGTAGAAAGCCATAGTGCAAGTGGGAGGGAGAGGGGGAGGGGGAGAAAAATGGAATATTACTTTTCAAAGAAAATGAAAATCTGAGCGAAGAAGAAAATAGTAAGAAAGGATGACAAAGACAGTTTCAAGACCAACAAAAACAAAAATTCCGTCAGAAGAAGGGAGGAAATCTAAAAATGTACAACAAATACTCACCTTTATGTGCACAAATACAATTGCCTTTTTTTTGCTCCTAAATTGCTTCTTATTTATCCTTCCTATTAATGGGACGTATGTTCTTAAGGACTCTCTTTGAGCTGAAGGGGAAAGGGCTGCTGGAAGCTCCCTTTATATTAGAGTTGTTGCATTCCTCATGGGGAGCTCAACAGAAAAAAAACCCCAAATCTCAGCAAGGCACCCAGTAGCCTCCCTGATTGATGAAGAGTTTCAGTTGGAAAAGAGTGAGAAAGCAATATCCAGAACATTATGTGAAAGTACCGACTGAGCAAAGACACTTGAGCACAAGTGACTGGTCTCAATTCATCCAGCAGCAGTAGTTTTTCAGGCTGCCTTTTACACATACGTGCTTGGGGAGGGGGTGGGAGATGCACACACACATACACACAGACTCATGCATACACACAAATGTACCAAGTCATCATTGGCTTCAGTTGATAATTTCAGAAATATTGCTTGCCATGCCCCTCACCCTGTTCTAGAGATTAGAGTGTAAAAACCAACCCTGCTGTTGTTAAACTAGAGCAGATAGCCAAACAAATTTTTTCAGAAGTCTGCTTCCAAAAGTCTTTGTCAGCTTTTCAAGATATCCACACAGAGGGTGCAGTTTTTGAGCCTCAGGAATTACAGCTCTTCCCCTTCTCTAAGTGGTGAGATCAGGGTGCCAGTAAAGATGGTGACTGGAGCCATCAGAGCAAATGATGCCAGAGCTGTGTTATGTCCTTCTTCATTTACATGGTTCAAAAAGGAGACTAATTCACTGCTACTGCTTACCTTGCAGTGCACCTTAATGCTCTGCTTTCAAGACCTCCAGCAAATGCAGAGTATGCAGAGACTGACTTGCTGCTCAGAGCACTGAGCTGTATGTGCAGTCAACCTCACCAGCAGGCTAACACACTACAAACTGATTTCTTTTCCTGCCCCAAATATGTAAGTTTATTAGGCATATTTAAAGATCCTTTTTTTTTTTTTTTTTTTATTATTGGCAGAGCCTAAAGAATAAGGGTTTTTTCCCAGACTTTTAAAAATTCCTTTCTGCTAAGATCATATATTCTCTGCAGCATTATCAGAGAATTTACTTTTTCCAAGGTAGTTGTCTTTTCTTATTCTTCCACCTGTGAAGTTGAACTTCATAGCTAACATTACACTTGGCAGAATGTATAAGAACTGCATTCAGTCTCGTAACCATTCTTTTTGGTACACTGTGAGAACACTTCCTTTTCAATGCAGCTCTGCATCTATTGGAGGGTGAGGATACCCACGTCTCCTTCATGCTTGGCCTCACCATTCGTGTTAAACTGAACCTACATATGACCAACTCAGACAATGGAGTACCATTAGTATTAAACTGAACCTACATATGACCAACTCAGACAATGGAGTACCACTATCAGCCACATCGTGCACGCATTGCACCGTTCCACAGCACACAGAATAAAATATTTACATTGGTTTTACTTTGACTATATTGTATTTTTAATAGGTTTTAATCTAAGCTTTGTCATCAGAACACCACAATGAAGAGACTTGGCAGTGCAGTCAACCTCCACAGTTGCCAGCAATAACACGGCAGCCTCAACACCAGTTGCAGCAGGGCAGGCATTCCCCTATCTCTGCCAACCATCTCCTTGAGGGAGGTGGTGGTGAGCAACGTTTGGGAGGTGCCCCGAGACTCCCTCCCCAGTGATGGGCTCTGGATAACTGCAGAGGAGCAGGTAGTGCTGCACAGGCACAGCACCAAGCACACTCCCAGCCTCTGGGGGATGACCTGCAAGCTGTAGGCACAGGATGACAGGTCAGTTCTGCTCACGGGCACACGCCTCCTGATCAGCAAAAATACAGAGTGGCATGCGGGCAGTGAACTAGCACGTACACAACTGTGGTATCAGCCTCGCATTTTTTCCATACAAACCAAATGTTTTCCCATGAAGAACATCAACATCAGTGCTGGAAGCGGTCCCGAGATAATGGCTGCTCCAAGATAGCAGGTCTAAGGGCTCAAGACCCACGGACAGGAAACAAACAGGGCAGCTCCGCGTGGTCAGGCAGGCTGTGCCTGTGTCCTGCACTGGGCCATTGTGGTTTCTCAGTTTAGGAGGAGTTGGGAAGAGAACACTCTAGACCTGAAAATGGCAGTACCAAGGGGATAATATAGGCACAGTCAGCTTGAAGATACTTGGATACTAATGCAAGAAAAGCATTAGCTATGGGGATTAGCCATCATCTGGGGATGAAGCAGGAGATATAGGGCAAAGGCTGTTTCAGAGAACCACATAAAAGTCTTTTTCCATTATCTCATTGTCAGACACATTAAAAAGACGCAGACAAAAGTCAGCACTAACCAAGTGAATGCAGCTGGAAAAGTATCAGAGAAAGAGAAATGAACCCAGAGAGCCAAACTGAGGTGCTCATTAACATGGCCTATAATCTGGTAGGGAGACAGTGAGTGGCAGAAGGGGACGCAAACATCAGGCAGTTCCAGAAATACTGACAAAAAGCCACCAAAGAAGTCAGGTGCAGAGCTCTGTATGCTCAGGTAGCTGGAAAACAGTGACCGCAGTCAAGTTACTGCAAAACCAGGCTATTCTCAGGTGTGCCTACAAGATGCATGGGAAACCTGTGGATGCAGCAGAATTTGAATTTACAGATAAGGCAGATCTAGAAGGGCGTGGAGAGTTCAAGATCAGGGCTGCCAACAGGTTCACTGAGAGGCAGGGAGATGGGAGGTGGGGAGAGCAAGGAGAGAAAAGCCATATGGAAGTAGAGCTGCACAGGGGAGACCTGTGAAAAGGGCTGCTAGCTCCAGCAACCAGCTCTTCCTTGCTAGAAGAACCTGCAGAGACAGGAGGCAGCGCGGTGTGCCTGTGCCTGCAAAACAGGGGGACCAGGGAAGTGGTGAAACTAACAGCTCTTCAAACACATGCTCATGTCTGAAAAAAACAGCACATTGTCTGGAGCTCATTTCTGGCCGCCTGTTGACAGGACAGACAAGTAGTTATGCGTAAGAGATGGTCACAATTACAAGGAAGATCAATAGACACTGGCACTTCTACAGTATATAATTGAGAAATCTGCAGAGTGTAGATACGTAGATTGTTACCCTCATGGCCCCAATATGACAGGCATGTAATCACCCTTTGTAATGGGGCTGGGGAGAGCAGAGGAGGAGGGGGGGGGTTGATAGTTCTTCTAACAAGAACATGCAAAAAATCTATAAAATTTAAGGTTCCTGTACAGCAGTTAAACAAAACAAGATTCTGTTCAGCTGTTGACAGTGCAGCTGAAGCTGTGACTCTGGGCTCAGACTGTTCGTCTCTCAGCTCTACTGAGGCCTAAAAAACAGCCTCGGTGCAGTACAGAGTACACCCTGTTCCACAGTTCAGCCCTACATGTATAGGAAATGCATACAAGGCGTACAGAAAGGTTGCAGAAGGAGGCAAGAAAGCAGAAACATCTCTGCCAGCAAGTGAGCAAAAAAGTCTGGAAGTCTGACCAAAATGTAGCCCCATATGTATCAAAAAGCAACATTCATTCCTACTTCCTTTTACCTCAAGATTGTATCAATCTCAGCAATAACTGGATTTAAACCTCCATGTGGTAGCGAAGTTGGCCTTTGTGCTTATAATGAAGAGTCACTTTGTGATCTAGACGTCTGACAAAACCCCTCACCCAGAAGCGCAGGAGGCTCGTGCACATCCCAAATTTTCACCTCAGAGCCTCTACAGAAGCAGCCTGAACCTCTGCAGATGTCTAAAGAAAGATAGCTCGAAGACAACAGCTAGATCTCGAAGAGCTCTAGGGCCTGCTGCTGCAACGCACAGCGCACGGGGTGACCAGGAGTCTCACCAGGCTTTCCTGCAGTCCTTTCATGACTGCAGCATGTCTCAATCTGTTTACCTGCAAGTAGTAGGTATAATCCGATTAGATAAGACCATTACCACGGCACGTAACCTTTGGACTTTGGCTTCAGGCTTCTACTTTCCCTTCTGGAGAGAGCACGTCATATTTCACTGTCTGTTTTATTTCTTTCTCCCTTATTACAGTTGTGCTCAGTACGCTACGCGGATTGATTTTCCTGGAGGCACAAACAAGCAGATAGAATCTAGAGGATGTTTAAATAAAGGGAATCATTTTAAATGGTCTTTGAATTAATAAATGTTTATAAAGATAAGTAAGAAACATAGAGATATATAGGACATATAGGTAGCACAAACAAATCGTGATCCATCTGTCCAGGATGCTCTGTTCAGGTAAGCACTGTTTGCTAGGATATCCTCAAAAGAAATATGCCTTTGTTCTTCATATTTCTGGATGCACTTATGATCCCAGCTGGGAAAGAGGAAATTTTCCACTATCTCAAGTGAAGGATTGGACACTACATAATGCATTGTGCCTAACAGGAAGAGTTTATCCTAAAAGAATACCTAAAAGGCATAGTCTACCTCCTTGACTTACTGAGTCTGAGTTGACAGAATATGCACTTTCACTGTAGGCTCTACTAATTAGCACAAGAGAAAATAACTACCAATTTAAAGACACCGGTGTCTTGCAGGCAAATTGGGTCACTGTAGTTTTTCAACATTACATTCTCACCTCTCTTGCAGAATTCCTGCCAGCCACCAACCTTCCTTTGATCAGCCATAGATCTTAAGCCTGTCTGTCCTCCATTCTCTGGACTCACGTTCAGAAAGAACAGCTACCAAATTCTTCATGAATAACTATGGCAGCAACTGCTTCTGAGTCTCCTTTGGAGACGGGTCAAATATTTATTGACTAGTTAATGCAAGACCGAGTGAAACCCTCAGCACAAGGTGAGCAGGATCTGATAAGATATTTAGTTTCACTCTTTTTTTGTGGTCTCTAGTGCACTATCTGTATACATAATGTAGAAATGTATCCATCAGCATAAAGCAGGCACCAAAGTTGTTCAAGAACCTGAACAGCTTCTGCAAAAAAATACCTATTCATCCTCCTCCCATTTCTCTCTACAGTCCAGTGCAAAAACAGTCTGATATTAGGGAATAGCTCTTATCTATCACCTTAGTCTACACGTATTCTTAATAAGCAAATGTAATATATCAACTTTTCCATTTTCTTCTAAAGCTCTCCCCCGTAACAGCAAACATAC